ATCTCCCTCTTCACATTATTCCAAGGTTTATCCTTTAGAGGTTCAATGTTTGGAGGCAAATAAATCTAACCTCCCCTACTTCCTTCTAGTCATCTCCATTAGAAGAAGGTGTTAGAAAGGAGCTTACAGATCATCTAATCCAAACCCTTAATTTTGCAGATGAAAAAATAGAATCACAGAGGAATTCATTGATTTGCCCAAGACCATACAGGTATAAAAAGGCCCCCTTAGCACAATATCTGGCATATAGTAGGCTCCTAACAAATACCTGTTTACTTTCTTCTCTTTTGGCAGTAGAACCACCACTCTTACTCAAAGTCCCTGGAACCTGTTAGCTCTTTGACTTAGGGTTAGATGACTTATTTTTCTAAAATTCTAAATTTCTGAATTTTTCTACATATTTTTCACGTCAAATCACTAATTGTCAGGCTGTATTTCGTCAGATCATTTGGGAGACTCCACCCAATGAAACTACAAAGAAGTTGTATGGAACTAAAGTTATAAGACTCCCTTTTGCCCCATAATGCTCCTGGTTGACCCATAAATTAACCTAGAGACAAGGACAAAGGAGCTAGATCAAGCCACCCAGACACAGTAGTATAACTTTTTTCCAGATTTTTCCACACGTATCTAACAATTTCAACACTTTCTTAAGATCCTGACCTGTGTATGTCATTTTTTTTCCTTTATAAAGACCTTTGGGAGGTAAAACACATGAAGCTAAATTTTGCTACTAAGAAATTAATCAGTTCTTTCTCAGTTTGGTTTCCAAATGGTATAATTAGGTGAAAGCAAAGCCCCTGGAGAGTGGAACAAAGGTTGGGCTAGTTTGGATCGGGCATTACATTGAGAGGAGAAATGGAGTGACAGGTCTGGAACACAAGACACATTCTAGGGAATGCAGGACCAAATGTCAAACTACAGGACAGGCAGAAGACATCAGGTGATATTGGAGTATCTGAAGGGGGAAGAGAATTGCTATAAACTGAGAAAGATGTTTAAAGAGGAGAGATCTGTGCCTGGTCAAGAAGGAGAGGAGAGGATGTAGGGAAAGGAAGACTACAGAAAAGCAACTTCAATTAACCAATATATTAAACATTAATCATGAGCAAGGTATTGTGGCTCCTGCCCTCATTTATTGCCTTGAATTGTTAATTAAGTGAACCTGTGAAGTGATAGTACCATTTAGATTATAAGTTACAAAGAAGCTGTTGCTCTACATTTGGAGGAGGGAATTTCCTCACCTGGAAGTTCCCTATACTGATGAAATCACAGATCTGGTCTTTCTCTGTTTATTAAAAGATTTTTTTTTTCAATAAAAATAGACACAGCATTTAAAACCTGGAAGATGCCTTAGAGGCCATCTTGTCCAACTCCATGTTTTACAGGCAATATGCACTGTCGGAGATATGAGGAGAGAGACATCACTTCTGTCTGGAGCAACCCAGGACAGGTCTGAGAATCAATAAGATTCAAGATTCAATAGAGAAATAAGAGAGGGGAAGACCTTATGAACAGGAAACAAAACATGAACAAAGGTCTGCTGCATAATTTTGCCTCAGGTTGGTCCTGATGCTCTATTATTTCTCTGCCTAGGAGCCATGTTAGTAATGTACTTAACAGCACCCTCTCTGAAAGCCAGACCAGAAACCCAGCCTCCAGACACTTCATTACACAGTCAGAAATTTCAGCCCTGGGAAAGTTAGCACATTTGCCGAGCTACATTTAAATAATCAGCCAATTTCCTAACTCACAGTCACCTCTCTAACTATTGCTAACCACTATAGTCACAAAGGAGAAAGAGTTCCCTAAGGCCCAACTTTACTAAATTTCTACATTTATTTGCAAAGTGGATGGAGTGCCAGGCTTGCAGTTACAAAGACAGGTTTAAATCCTGCCCCAGACATCTAGTTGTGCTGTCCTGGGCAAGTGACTTAACCTCTCTCTCACTCTTAGTTTCTTCATTTATAAAAATGGAATAATAATCTCTATAGGATTTATCTCACAGAGTGGTTCATAAGGATCAAAGGAGATAATCATTATGAAGTGCTTTACAAATCTTAAAGCTCTCTATAAATTTCAATATTAATTATAATTAATATCTGTTGTTGATGATATTCAGTCATTTTTCAGTCATATTTGACTCTCCTCAACATCATTTGAGGATTTGTGGGCAAAGATCCTGGAATCGTTTGCCATTTCCTTCTCCAGCTCATTTTAAAGATAAGGAAACTGAGGCAAACAGGGTTCAGTGACTTGCCCAAGGTCCTATAGCTAGTTAATGTCTGAGACCAGATTCAAACTCAGGAATATAAATCTTCCTTACTCCAAGCCTGCCACTCTATCCACCCAGGCAGCATGACATAAAGGATAGAGGGCTGGCCTCAAAGCCATGGAAGTGTGGGTTCAAGTCCTGCCTCTGACACATGCTGGCTGTGCAACCCTGGCCAAGCCACTTAAACTCTAAGCGCTCCAGACGCTGCTCCAAGACTCGAAGTTGCAGAGAAAGTGCCAACGTGCATTGGTAGAAGGAGTTTCCTCACCAGGAGTTCCCTAGACCAATGAAATTACAAATCCAATTGCTAATCTTGCATTTATATTTGTTACATTTATCAATTATATTCTATTTAACTATGTAAGGATATGTATCGGGCTATCTGAACCTAAAAAACCACCATACCATTTAGACAGAAAAGGTACCAACCTGTACTGGCAGAGGGAGTTTCCTCACCTGGAATTCCCCTATACCAATGAAACTATACCAAGGTACTAGATCACAAGTACATTCATTAAAAGATTTTTTTCAAAAAATAATAGCATACAGTATGTTGAAGCAGGAAGCTGCCTTAGAGGCAGACCCTCATTTCACAGATTAATCAGGAAGCATTTATTAAGTGCTTATTATGTACCAAGTATCGTGCCATGCATTAGCAATAAAAAGATAAAATGGAAGGATACAAAACTGTCTCCTACAGAATGTAGGAGCCTATATTCTACTGGTAGAAATATGCATATAAGTAAGAGTATCCCCAAAAGAAAAACCATATGCAAGGTAATTTTGAGAATGAGGCACTAAAAGGAAAAGCTTCATGAAGAAGGTGGCATTTGAGCAGATCCTAAGGATTCTAGGAGGTGAACCCAAAAAAGTCAGTGACTTAGCAGAACAGTCACTGCACTTGTTTGGACAATGAGAGTACAGATTATGGCAGGTTCTGGAGAATATGTTAGTGTTCACTGCGACATCTGTAAAGAAAACATCCAAATCTCCAATGGTTTGAAGAAAAATCAGATTTTAATTGCTAAATTGTGAAGAAACACACACAGTGCTACCCAAAGCAACATGTAAGACTATAAACTCCACTTTGCTCTGTGCACAGACCTCTCATGGTAATGAGGAGCCAGGAAAGAGTGGAGTTTCTCCTGTTTCAAAGAAAAACTCCTTGCAGCAAAAGGATGGGTATGCTCGCTCATCCTTGGACACAAAGGGTTAAATGTTTTCCACTTAGAGATGATACTAAGAAGCATCACTTTACCCTGAGAGGCAAAAATGATGACTTACATGTAGGTCCCTGGACAGCTAGGCTAATTAGAGACAGTATCGCTATATGCTCAAGGACGAGCCTGGTGGGCATGAGTGCATGGAGAGCAACATCCCATGTGTACATAGTAACATTTCAATACAAAAGTGTTCCTGACAAAAGAAAACATCTGAGAGTGAGAGTCAGTTTAAAAAATGACTAGATGCCTTTTGGGACTCTGTATAGCCTAATTCATGAGTAAAAAAATAAAACAAAAAACTAACAGAAGCTCATGCTTGAATTCCTAGTAAAGAAAATAATGGAAATTTTTTTCAACAACATTCTTAAGGTAAATTTCTACTTTTTTTCTGCAAATGCATTTTCAATGCAGTTCCCTTGGTTCCATGATCATCTGTGAGGATGGGACTCACTGCATTAGACAATGATGAGCATGGAAAATCTTGAAGCCCCTTTGCCATTTCTCACGTTCAGATGAAAAAGAGCTTCTCTAACTTGTCCACAAGAAACCAGTAAATGGGCACATTTTTCTTTTGTAATTGTAAGGGTTAAGCTGAGCATTAAACCTGAAAGCTAAGTAGAGTTCTACCAAGTTTTTTCCCCCTCAAACTTTCTTTTCTAGCTGAAATAATATCCAATTACTTTCCATTAGTTTACTACAGTCACAAGTCTAAATCAAGATTTTTTTAACTTCTTTCACCTAGCAAAATAAATATCTCTCTATTCACCCCTTTCCAGCAATCCCCTTAAATGGCTCAAAGATGTTGGAGTGCAGTGGAAAGAGTTCAGACTCTGGAATCAGAGGACTGACTCCTCCTCTGACGCTATCTAAATGACTTTAGATGAGTCATGTAATTTCCCTGTACCTCGGTTTTCTCATCTGTGAAAAGGAGGGAATGGAGGAAGCTGACTTTGTACTGTCTCAAGGGAGACTAGAGGATACAGGCCCCAGGGATTAATGCCTCAGAGACAGCATCAAAAGTATGAATCCTCACATACTTGGTGTTTGTATTTGTTTGTAGCCTAATGAATTGATACAACACATGGTTTCCATCTGTTACTGGATGAAATTACAGAAATTCACCTAAAGGAGCTAATAACTCCTGGCACTGTCCTTGTTTAACCACACTTACTCACCTGGTCCACCCAAGTGCATGTGTTTGCATATAAGTCCCTGTGTAAAACCCTTGTATGTGCATTTAAGACCCCAATTTAAAGTCTGAATACAGTTGTCAGATTTGGGTTTTGTTTTTTAATAATCCTAGGATGAAGTATATCTTCATATTGTTTGAAAACTATTGTCAAGGAATACACTAAGAAACACAGTAAGTTCAGAGTAATTTACGAAACAGACATAACTTATTTTCCCCAGTTCTCGTGCTGATTTCTTCCAGCCTAGACTTCAAGAGATGGGAAAAGAGGACAGATGTAGGGTAATAAATATAGTCTTAATTTTTTAAAAGATGCTTAAAATGTGATTGTTTTATTTTAACACTAGCTAAGTGTTCTTTCTCTCTTGATGTCTAGAATAAGTTTTTTGGTTATTTGTGAGGAAACAATAGCACTTACATAACCTCCTTAAGGTAAATGGATGCCAATGGCTGTATAAGAGAGAAAAAGCAAATTGTCCATTGTCAGAATTAATGGTGCTGAAATCCTTTCAAAAATCATCCCGTGGATAGTCTTTGATTCCAGGAAGAAGCAAAAACCAAAAAGTCACAATCTCCAGGTCTTTCTCATGATAAGAATGAAGTAGGCATCACTGTCAATGGAAGCACTAACCCCGGCATAATAGTCCAAAAAGTCCTCTTGGGAAACCTGCATATAGAAGGGAAGAAAAAATGGGTGAGGGGAGCAAAGTCAGGGAATGGTGCCACCAAAGAGCATTCTGGGTTAAAGGTAGGTTGGAGTTGCTACTAGGATACTGGTCTAACCTACCCAGCCCAAAAGCAGAATCCAGCTGGTGTGCATGAGCAGGACAATGAATAAATAAATAAATCTCCACACCATGCAAGGAGTATCTACAGTTCTGTATTAGAGCCACATGGGTTAAAACATTGTTTCTGGGAAATACTTATTAAAGTGCACGTGAGTAAACTTGTAGATGTAACACTTTAATCCATTCACACCTGCTAATATTTGAGCTTGCAGAGAGCAGAGCCTTTAGAGGTAAAGGCCTGTACTGGGGGGAGGCACCCAGATGGGATCTGAACACTGGCATCGTCCAGGTAGGGAAGGCTCACTGGGGCACTGAAATGGGAACTCCCTGACCAGCCAAGGGTAACAGGAGGAAACAAAAACTGGTGACATAAAGTGCTGAGAAGAAGGAAAGGGCCACCTAAAAGGGAGATGGTAGACTGCTAGAAAATTAGCTATTCTGACTTCACAATCTGACTGGCAAGGCCTGAAGAGCCTGTTTGGCTACTGGAGAGGGGAGGAGGGGGTGCTGTCTGTGGATTAACCTGTACCATCCAGGGGCAGCTAGGTGGCACAGTGGATAGAGTACCAGCCCTGAAGTCAGGAGGACCTGAGTTCAAATTCGGCCTCAGACACTTGACACTTACTAGCTGGGTGACCCTGGGCAAGTCACTTAACCCCATTGCCTAGCAAACAAATAAATATATAAAAATAACCTGTACCATCCAGAACGGGACATGAAGTTGAAGGAATGAGGGATCTATGAGCTCTGCTCCTCTTCCCACCTCAACCCCATCACCTTAGCAATAGATTGTCACTAATCCTCAGAAGTCCTAAAAGCTCCATGCAGTCACTTCCTGGGAACTTTCTTGGCTTACTGAATGGAAGCCATCCAGCCTTATGGGGAAATGAATATTACATCAAATTTTCAAAACTATTATTCTTAGTTGGGGTGGGGAGAGGTGGGGAGGAGTTATCAAATTTAAAAAGCATAATGAGAGAATTCAATTTAAATAGAATTTTCTCCATGTAAATGAATGAAATAACATCTAGTAATTCAATTACCATTGAAACAACATTATCAGGAAAAGAAATAACATTTTGAAGAGCACTATTATACAACAATACATTAGCAAATAAGGGGAAGCTTATCTGAGAACTAAGCTAAAAATTGAAACTACAAAAACAAAGAAACTGCCGCATCAGTAGAAATTACCAAAGGTGTATCTACTCCCAGCTAATACAACTACGGGAACATTTTAGATGTTTCAAAGTCCTTCAATAGAAGATAAATGCCAGAGTCAGAGTGCTGTGGCAAAGCACAAATTAACAATATGGACACAAAATGTCAGGCTGTATTATAAATGAAGCCCATTCATTTGTTCAACGTACATTTAATGACTGCCTATTAAAGTACAGAATGCTTTACTCAGTTCTAAGCTATAACAATAAATAAAACACAATTTATTTAGCTCCCAAGAACCAGGTTAAAATGTAATTGGGAAATACTTAATAAAACAAAACTACAACAGAGATAATGTTAATTTGTGGTTTGCTAAGTCAGTGAAAAGCAGCTAGGTGGCACTGGACTTGGAACCAGAAAGACTCATCTTCATGAGTCCAAATGTAGCCTCAGACACTTACTAGCTGTGTGAACCTGGGCAAGTCACACAACCCTGTTTGCTCAGTTTCCACAACTGTAAAATGAGCTAAAGAAGAAAATGGCAAACCACTCCAGTATCTTTGCCAAGAAAACCCCAAATGCAGTCACAGAGAGACTGAACAACAATAACAAATCAATATGCCTCCATCAGGGATCTATTTCTACTTGACACTACTTCTCTAGGCAACTCTTGAAGACTTGAAGGTGCCAACTTGCATCTGGTGGAAAGAATTTCTTCCCCAGGAGTTCCCTACAAATCAATGATCAATGATTACTAATATTTGTGAAGTGCTTAGCACAGGGCCTGACACATAGTAGGTACTATATAAATACTTCTTCCCTTCACTTCTCCCTGCCCCCACCAATTAAATCACAGATCCAATCACTATCCCTACATTTATATTTATTATATTTGTAGATTATATTCTATTTAACTATATATGAATATGAATCAGGCTATCAGTCTAAGAAGCTCCAAGATGATTCCAATGAAATGCTACTAAATGATACAGGTATACTTTATGAGGCCATCTAAAGGACATTTAATGGCAGACACACATTTTATATGCACTTACAAAATTCTTTACATTATAACCTCCTTTGGTTCTTCACAACTGTGAGTAAAGTTGGTGCTATTATTATCTCAATTTCATATGGAACCTCAAAGAGGTTAAGTCACAACTAATAAGTAGCTAAGGTGATATGTGTTTGTATAGATAGTGTTTCCATGTGCATATACTCTGAAGTCTCTCACAAGATAGTCTTCCCCATGGGATTCATCACTGTCCTCCTCAGCCACTGTCCTCCTCTGCCTGTCCCTTCCACTGTGCCCACTAGAATCCCCAGTCCATTACTAACCCTTCCCTTTAAGCTTTATCTTTTCCCCCTCCTGGGGAACACTCCATCATCTGCTCACACTAACTGAAACCTGAAGACTGCATGCCCTGCTACCCTCATCAAGGCTGGAGATTCCAGAATTGTCCCACACATTTCTGGTAGGTAAAATCGGTTAGATTTCATGACTTTTTTCTAGCAGTATTTAGCAGCCCAGGAGTAGGAGAGGAGAAATTGACTGACGGGAGTTCTGAGAAATGAGAATTAATTAATTGAGAATTGTATGGGGCTAAATCTTTCTAGGATGATGACTAGTGAAGTCTACTATTGACTACTATTTAAGTAATAGATTGTGTAGTTAAAGGTGGGGTGGGAAGCAAAGTGAAGATAAAATGAGGGAGGTAAATGAGAAGTGGGATTGATCCAAGGACCAGAGGTCATAATGAAATCAAAGCCTAAATTTAGAGGGAATGAGAGAGTAGGAGAGGTCAAAGCAGGGGTGAGGAACCTGTGGCCTCGAGGCCTTCTAGGTCCTTAAGTGCAGCCCTTTGACTGAATTCAAACTTCACAGAACAAATCTTCTCAATAAAAGGTTTTTTCTCACAGTACAATATACTGTACCTTTCTGGCAGACATGAGGGAGGGCTGCTTCAAAAACCTGAATCCATAATGATGTTTATCCCTACTCTCACTGGGTTGTGCTACAGTCTGAAAGAAGCCTCACACTCTACTTGGAGGATGGAAGAGAGTTTGAATGAAGCAGGTGCATAGAGCAAGGAGGGAGCTCAGGCAGCTTTGATCCAAAGAACTGTTTCACCACAACTCACTGCCCACGCTGAGAGTACCAACCAGAACCCACAGCTTTCACAGCTTCCCCATCTCATATCTTAGGATGTATCATCCCTTTTGCCTCTACTTTCTAGAAGTCACTCCCTTATATTTATGAGGCAAAAGTCACACTAGTGAATTGGTTGCACTTAATTTTTTTCAAAAACTAGTAGTTTCCTTACTTCTTAGGGATAGGGGGTTGGAGAGACAGAGATTAGATGACCTCTCAGGCTGTGGGTACATTCGAAAAAACACCAAGTTTGGTGTCAAAGATTTTGGGTTCAGATTCTGGCATCAGCATTTACTACCTGTGAAACTTTAAGCAAGTCATGTAAACCCTCTGAGGCTTTCTTTCCTCATCTGGAAAATGAGGATGGTGAGTCTAGGTGACATCTAAAGGATCCAAATTTATGATTCTTCCGACTGTGACAACCCAGCAGAGTCTTTTATAAGGGCAGAATTTTCCTAATTAAGTTGGAGGAGTAAAGTCATTCTGTTCAACAACAGAAGCTTTCCAAGGACCATTTTTATTTAAAAAGAAAACATGAAGGCAGAACGTATGTGTTTATTTTTCCCTTTGAATCACAATTTTTTTTTAAATTAAAAACTTTGGACTTAAAAAACTCCTAACAATGGAATGACCAAACATGATTCCAGAGGACCAATGATGAAACATGCTTCCAACCCACCTGACAAAGAGGTGATAGACTTGGGGTGCAGAATGATATACACAGCCAATATGGGAATTTGCTTTAAGTATGCTTATGTGTTATAAAGTGGTTTTTTTTGTTCTCCAATGGGAACACAATAGGTGATAAGGAGAAAATATGAATTTTTGATCATTAAAAATCTTTAAAATTTACTGCTACATTTGCTCTACTCTTAATAGAAACTGTCTAGAAATTAGTACCATGTATGAATCATCATTCTGTCATCAGAGCTGAAAGGGATAAAGTTTTAACATTCATTTAACACATCATTTAACATTCCCTCTTAATGAGGGAGAAAACAGTATGCAACGGATAGAGATCCAGCCTGGGAATCTGAAATGCCTAGCTTCAAGCCTCCCACCCCAACACACAACGGCTGATGTAATGGATAAAAAGCTGACTTCAGAATGTGAAGGACCTAGGTTCATGTGCCACCTCTGGTTGTGTGACTCCAAGCAAGTCACTTAACTTCTCAGTGGCCCAGGAAACTCTCTAATACTATAAATTGTACAAGCATTGTAGTCCTGTGTTGGTAGAGAAAACTTCCTCAGCAAGAGTGCCCTGTACAAATGAAGTGATAGCATTGAACCATAAAAGGGGGGGGGGGGAAGGTAATTACCAAAGAAAGATTTGTCTCAGAAAGGGTTTGTTAGTCAGAGAAATATTAGTTGCATTTTATGAAGGTGCGGTTAGAACTCCATGCCACAGTCCAGAAATACTGTGGTTAGCATGATCTTTGCACTTGGTTAAAGGTAAGCCCAGTGATAACCTGGAGTCCTCAGGCACAGTGGGAAAGGATGGATCATTTTCCACCTTCGTATCTACACAGGTCAAGAGAAGAAAAGGAAGGAGACAATTACCAGCTC